TCAGCCATTGAAAGCACGTTCCGCTAGGTGTTGAAGATTCTTAGCATTCTCTTCGTCGTCCTCATCAGCTTCTCGGAAACGGAGGAAGAAGTCTCTGGTGAGAGTTCGTTCCTCCCTATCGAAGACGAGTTGAGCCATCGTATCGCAGCATTGATAAATGTCGGTATTGTGGGTGATGCCAGCGTCGATTATGGCCAAAAATAAATCATGGGGGAGAGCGCAGAGAATTAGGGGTATTTTTTGGCAGAGGTCAGAGGTTAGAAATGGGAGTTTAATTTAGCAGTTTTCATCCAGTCTTCGAAGCTCATGTCATCTTCAAAAGGGGCAGGTCCACCGGCGCTGCCACCAGTGTAGGACGAGGCTCGTAGATCTCCTCTTCCATAGTCCTCATACTCTTAGGACACTCAAGTTGATTTGGCTTCGTCATGCTTATTGGGATAAGTAAATGAGGGAAGCAAGTACGGAGTTTGGGGGGGTGTGGGTACGGAACCGCCCTCGGGGTTGCAGGACCTTGACGCCTCAGTCACGAGGTTCGATTCGTCTGCCCGCCTCGTCTCACTCAGGCACATTAAGACAAGTATTACATGAGCGTGCGAAGCATGGATCGTGTGGTGCTTGACCAGCCGTAAAACACGAACCGGGAATTTCAAGCGCAGCACAGTTGCACCGATGTAATACTCAAACACAGCGATCATGCGTTTAACTAATGTAAAAGTTCTGAGGTGACTCAGTTCCCTAACGAGGGCGCTAATTTATTCCAGGGCGTATTCCGTTAGTGTGTGGGCCGCTTAAACTTAAACCTCTTGTTAGAACTCTAAAATAAATCGTACCTAAGATCTTACACTTGAGGAAATTTGGCTCGATCTATGCAACAAAACATTTTTCAATTTTGATCAACCCAGAGGGGTTAGTTGTTGGCCGGAATCGCGGGTACATTTTAACCAGAGAATTCAGGATCTTCTAGATCACAATATAACACACGAAAAAACCTGGGTTTCTGATAAAGACATCATCTCAACACCGATTAATTAGGCTGTCCTAAAGTGGATAGGTTGCACTGTAATTTTTTTCTGCGTTGAAATTGCCTCCCAGTTATTTATTAAATCTTGGAATAATTGTACGATCTTGAAAGTCCTAAATAGCATGAAAAACCCTTCGTGAAAAAGAAAATACGTATCTTTTCTTAGAGGAAGCTATCAGCATTTTGTGGAAATCTTACTTTTTAAAACCACAACTAGCTCACCTCTTCCAACGAGCATCTGCCAAGTTTTTCATTGAGTGTTGATCCCCCTGTCTCGGATTTGGAGTTGGAACAATCCACTCTTTCTCCCAAAGACGAATGAGACATCTGGACTTGTATTAGCTCAACTTTAAAGTGTCTACCGCCAAACAGTAATCAGTACGTCGGTGAATACAGGTCAAAAATGACCTTGAACCATTTTAAGTGTCGTGTAGCTTATAGCCTCTCCGTACACGTGCTGTGTGCTCTGTAATGCGGTGCAACGTGTGCATTCTTCTCTTGTACATACACAGAAAACGCGACGACAATCGAAATTGTGGGGTCTTGGGGAATCGGGGAGCCTATGAGATGAAGTCTAATCTCTGTGGTCGCTAATCAAACCTCAACAAAAACTCCTACAAAATCGATGAGAACGGGAGGTTCGTGCTCTTTCTGAATCGCAGGAAGCTGCGAACAACTCGACGAACCAACAGTCCTGCATGAAAATTGAAAATGAATGGCTGTAACGAGGGCGAGCTGGCTATTTTCACATTAAAAGTTCCTGTTGTGAAGCTACTTTCAAGCGTTAGCAATACTTCTAATTCCAATACGATTCCCATCAAAATGGTTCAAAAACCTCACCATGAGGCATATTCATCTCCTGATTTGCATTCCTCTCTAGAAGGTAAATTAATTTCAGTTGACTACCGTTTTACCGAACTGTGTTGTAGTCCAGTCATTACCATTCCCCAAAGCAATACAAAACACATTCGGTTAGATGGTATTCGTTTCATTTTGACGTAGAATTGCTCTGGCGTCTCAAACCACCTGTGAGTAGTATTGTCACCTGAGGTGAGCTTGATGCAGCTCAAGCCTCAGTCTCTGAATCGTCCCAAAATGACCTGATTTTATTATCGTAGCAAGTTAGATTTGACAGAAAACTGCCCACAGCTGCATGGAGTGTAAAAGGGTTCTGGTACTTCCTTTCCTGATGGATTCAAGAATAAAAAAATCACGCGATCTTCGGTTTGACCCAATGCGATGCCTTTTAATGAATTGTAGGGATAGGGGTCGGTGTATTGGTAGTTTGTGCTCCGTGCTACCCTCTTATTCTGTTTAACTCACATAAGATATCCGTTGAACTAAACGGAGTTGTTGGGGTTTACCAGCTTTACGAGCCTTAAAAGTCAAGCCTCACAGTTTAGAAATTTGTTCTTCAATTTTGCACATGCGTCACAGAAACGGACGGACTGCTTGTCGACCGACCCAGGACAGAAAGATCTTTCGTTCCTTAGTTTTGCCAAGCGAACAAACGGACTACCTGCTCCACTCTACGAAGGCACGCAACCCAGTCTTCCATAAACTAATGCTTACTTGATGTGCAGTGGAGAGGACAGTGCTAACCGTGGATCTCCTGGGGGCCAAGCAACCAATACAGCTAAGATCTGTCCACTCGACAAAATTCGAACGCGTGCAAGCGGGTCTTCCTTTCCTGAAACGCACGCATGCGGACCATGTGATAGCAGGAACACAGACGCGCGTTGACCGAAAATGAGCAGCTACAGGCATTGTCCGAAGATTGTCATTGAACGAAGCATAAAGTAGCCCTGCGCTCCAACTCTGTGGGACAGAACTCTGCCCACCAACTGAGCGCCCATATCGGACAACATAACACGCAGAAATAAGACTATTGTGCATTTTCTATTCCACCTCACTTATTATTTGTACAATTTTTATCATTGCTGCACCTGCATCTGCTGCTGCAACGGCATTCCCTGTTGAAGCGGATTCTTGCGCATATGCGAGATGAGTTGTACCAGCGTGCAAGCTCGTGTAGTCTTGAAGCGTTGATTAATTACTTCGTCCAGACCCTGAAACCTCTTCGACGCCACAATTACCACATGGTTCTTTGACCAGTCATACGTCAAGCCGACTACTTCCACACCGGAGGCACGCAACAAACCCTATAAAAGAAGAGTGACTCGAATTCCTGACAGGAAAGATAGTTGCTTACGGGCACATTTAGCTATGCGGACACCTTGGTTGCCGCGGACTTCACGGACATATGCCCATCTCTAGGCTCTCAGGTATTCTGACTCCAATGATACAACAACCTTCTACACTGTTCTGACTTATCACACCTTCACAGATCACCCAAAACACTACACAACACACCGAAGACGAGGACTGCTCGTTGAAAGCGGGTGCGCGGGGAATGATGATTTGCATGGCGAGATAGCTGGGCGAACGAAGAACGACGGAGGGCTCGGGGGCGGCTGGAGTAGCAAGGGAAACGAGACCAACGCGGAGAATAGAAAGACCATTGTTGCCACCGCTTGTGGAGTCCAAATCCCACGCAAAGACGTTAGTGACGAGATCAAAGAGGGTTGCACCGGGAAGGGAGAGGAGACGGAAGAAAGAGGTGATAGCTGCTGCTTGCGGTGAGACTAAACATACCTGGGAAAAAGATATGGGAGAGGATCCTTGTGAGCTGAAACCTTCTAAAACACTGGCGAAAAAGTTAGGCCCCAACGAAAGGTTATCCGTACAGACCAGTCAACATTTTACCACAATGATGAGTAGCCATCTGCTTGTATTCGCATAAAACCGAACACACCTGAAGATGGTGACATGCACCATTGAGGACCTGTTGGAGTGGGCTAGTTACCTGGGTACGTGAACGTACCGTCCAATAGCCTTAAGCATTGGTAAGGTAACCTAAGTAACCAACTTACCCCTCCATCATTTCGCTGTACATCTACGCAAAGAAAAGAATAAAAAACCTGCTTTTAGAAAACTGCTCTTATAAAATCCTTCTTCCTTAACCCTCAGTAAAATGAGAGAAATGAATTCTGATTTAATGAGTAGAAACTCTCACTGCCTATCCTGCTTTGCATATGCGCAGATGGTTGTCAAAGGCTGCTAAAAGGTGACAAACATCACATCGACATTTATTAGAAATTGCACAAGAAGTCTCAAAGCTTATTAATGCATTCTTTACGTCTTCGCAACCTTATAAAAAATGTCCCGTGCACTTTGGATTTTTTACTAACTTGTCACGAAAAAGAACTTTCCCTTTCCAACACAAACGAAAATATCACTGATCATCCCCAAACGATCCAACAACCACCCCCCAACTTCTAATAGACGCGCTGCTTTATCTTCAGAGGATTAAGCCTACTTTATGTGTGCGTATGTGGTGTACCCCAAACCCAGCTGCATACCACAATCCCTTCAACTGTTGAAAACGAATTATCATTAAAGGGCGAAAATAGTGTTCGATATAACTCGATACAACTCAAAGGTGTGTAAGAAAAACTTTTGCCTTAGAAATTCTTGAGACTGCTCAGCCCGAAGAAGGTCGTTTTCTTAGTAGATAGCGCAAGAGCTGATACGTTGGTTAAGTGAACTCCACACTGTCTACTCATTATCCGCTCTACATTTCTAAGGCGTGAAACACTTGATCTCTAGAAGATTACTTCGTTTGCTACATTTGGCAGAGAGAAGATAGGATTACCAACCCTGAATTCCCTTCTGAAGGCCAAAACAATAACTCAATGAAGCCTGAAAGTTTTCAAGTGGAAAAATTTCTTGAGAAATAGCCAAGACTAGTAAAGTAGTAGGAGGGATGTCTCATACCATAAAACTTACTAGCAAGAAGACCTCATAACCCACTTGAGAATGAGAGAGATACTACTTCATCCACACCTTCCTTACTTCCTTCACATTTCTCCGGATGATGGATGATTAGCACCTTTTCTTGGCATCGACCATCAAAAACAAAGTTGGCAGAGGTGGATTTAGCTATAACCAGCCTTTTTTCTCCTCCAAAGGAAAAGCATTTTATGGGAATGGGATTTGCAAGCTGACGTAAGGTTGAGAAAAGACCATATAATAATGGTGAACTAGAAGATAATTGCTACTCGTATTCAAATTCGTTATGACATCCACAGGTTCACAGAAACGCTCAAAAAGAACTGCTCTTCGCGAAAAGTAAAGAACGGCGTTTTCAAGTGTGTCACTCATGCACCTCCATAACAACAAATATACTAGATCATAAAAAAAAATTATTAGCGAACTCAGGCTCACACACTAGTGGAGTCCTTCATTAGAAAGTAGCCGTATTTCAATATTTTATCAAAATGTCCCAATTCGAAACGACCAACCCTCTTTGAGAGTGAAATTAGGACCAGGAGTCAGATCAAAGCTGAGAAAGACCGATTGCAAATGATGTTTCGGAGGAGCAGCATTTCACAAAACTGATCAAGATAGAGAGTTTGGGACTGTTTTTTAAGATGAACCCATAATGAGCGAAAACCGTTCTCAACTGAAGCTACAAATACAAACTTCTCTATGAATTGAACAGGCATCTACATAAGGCTAGACATTAAATATCAGTAATCATTTTGAAGAGCTGCGTCTTCAATGAAGTTGTCCATTAACAAGAAGCCTCCCCCTGCGATATCTTTTAACAAGTAACGGCTACTCGTCCGTAGATCCGATTGGAACACTGACAGGTATCGCAATGAGTCCTTTCGTAAATCTCAATGAAAACCAACCCTTCGGCGGAAGAACTCCTCAATCCTAGCACCCAATTCTGCAGCTCCTTCTGCCGGGCACGACACAGGATCTGGCGTGACTCTCAGGACGAGACGCCAGCGTGGAACACCCTCCACCGTCGTCGCCTCCTCCTCCTCCATCTTCAACCTCACCTCTAGCCCCGAGTCAGGTGCTTTGGCAACGAATTCCCCTACCTCGATAGCAGGAGCAGAGGGAACTTGCCAACGATGCGCATTCACCGCCTGGAAAGCAGCATGGAAAGTCAAGCTGGCGGAGAGGTAGCACTCGAGAGCTGAGGGACTGACAGGCCCGTTGGTGCCCCCTCCCGATGGCCGAAGCATTCGATCCAACTGGGACACGGTGAAACCGCCGGAAGGTTTCTCGTCTGGAAATAAATAAGTAGGACAGATGGTAAATCGGCCAATGAAATATCGATGCAGTATACCAGTTCATTAGGAGTGCTAGCATTCGCTTTCGCCTCAAAAACGATAGGAACTTCTATCCCTGCACTAAGAGCTGCACTCTTACATTCACTAACATTTTGCTTATCAAATGCTTCAGTCTTCGGATAGAGTTCCGAAGATAGGACCTACTCCGCCTCAAAAATTGTGCTGTGAAATAATTTTGATGGGAAGGATTAAACACCCTATTGTTTGCTCCGCAAACAACAAAGATGGGATAATGAGTAGAGCTTGATCTCGCAATGTCTGTCTAGAGAGACAATTACCCCTGGTGATTGGTAACAAGAATTGTGACGCAGTAGCAAAGATGGACGTAAACGGTTTTCCTTCCTATATTGGATATTGTGGTAAGAAATAGTACGCGTTGAGAAACGAACTCTTCTCTGCTCGATGATGAGGAATGAAGTGTTCTCTCCCCCTGAAACGCCCATGAGAGGGCAGATACGAGAGCGGATGTAAAGCGCTTCAGATTTTCGCTCTGGTGAAGAAGTGACAGCGAATACACGTAGTTAAATTCGAAGTATAAACATTGATAAACAACGGATTTAACAAAATCCTCAAAATCATTGAAATAACCCACCTCCACCCTCCATCTTGAAGGCCTTTTGCATTGACTCCAAAAAGAGCTGGAACGGAAAAAAGTTGAGTCTGTTAGAGCCTATCTTGGTAAAAAATGACCGGGAATAAGTTAGTCATCCAATCTTAATCCTTTCTCCCATTAACCATAGCTAACTTTAATCTGAAATCAAAAAAGGCATATCTCTACCCATCTTACCTGTATTTCTAGCATGCCAACTCCTCTGTTCACTATCAATAATACGCAACAGCTGCAACTAGTTGAGGCAAGTCATCCCAACTGCATTGCCTAGAAATCTACAAGCTTAGCTTACTTCATAGAAATCGGCAATGCTTACAAGGAATAAGACAGTGGTGAGCACCCACCTCGACAAGAAATTACCCGGACTCTATTAAGCAATCACCTAATTTCAATTAGTTCAACAAACTTTATTATCAAACTCTGCAGCATTGTAGCTTCGTCAATTAGTGCACACCTCAATCCATTTCACCTACCAACGTCTGATAGTGACAAGTGAATTAGAGGCAAAAGATCTAACCAACAACTTCAAGGAATAGAAGAAATGAGTCTCACAACAGCAGTGGCTATGAGGTTCTTAAAATAACCACTTTTTCATGCTACGAAGCAACAGGCAGTGCATTTTGATCACAACTTACAGGGAATTAAGTAATAAAATACTCAAATTTAGAATTCAACTAAGCGCAACAAAATCTACTCAGCAATCAAGAAAGGTGAAGATAGAAAATCAGGTTTTGGAGTGACACAACAAACTTTTCAGTTTGTATCTGGGTCCACGTCAATTTCGTCCAATGATATTTGGTAGCTAAAGTGAATCTTGGCGTAAATTATCCGGCCTACACGATCCAGAAGTCTTTAAAATGCGAGACAGACCCTTGCAGTGACAGATTTTTTCACACGACAAAGCCATAACGGAAACCTACCTTTGCTGCAAGAAAACTACCAGGAATCAATTGTGTGACCACCAAAAACCGATTTATTTGCCCATTTCCTTCAAGCTCTTCTATACACCGGAACAAATGAGCCAATTTCCAAGCAGTGAGGCCCATATACTCACCTGGAACGCAGGAAGTGGTACAAAGCCTTGCACGGGGTAAATTTCGCTAGAAATTCCACCACCACGACTCTGTGGTGGTGCACCACCAACTTCTTGATGGTGGCAGCCATCATAGATGTGGACAGTTGCGTCGTGACCAGTCTTCAGCTTAAAACGCAAGCACAGTGTGCCACGATAAGCAAGTTGCAGGTCGAAACAGGAGAGCGCCATCAGAGACATACTCCGGATGGGGCGGGCTGATTTCACAATTGCTGACGACTGTTTGAAAAAAAGCATTTTAGCACTCTGACAACTCCTTGTGTAAACTTGTGCGACTAAATAAGTTTGTAAGTAAATGTCGACATTGAGTAACAACAGCTCCCTAACGATTTTCAAATTCATTTTTATGTTCCCTGAGAGGTTCATAATACTTAAATAGATGAGTATCAAACAGATCAGGGTGGAATTTGACGGATGATAAACTCTACCTTAAAGTTCTTAATCTTTCAAAGCGTTTAAACCCCGTAAAGAAAGGGATGTCTCCGGTCCAATTATGAGGCCTTCAATAAAGAAGAGCTCCATCCATTCTCTTAGAAAGCAGAGACGACGTACGAAAGACCAAATCAGACATCGTTTGACCACATCAGAAAAGCGATACTATAACAGCATTCTTTGATTGAAAATGGGAGGAAATTAGTTATCCAATCATTATACCTGGATTCATTCATCCCACCTAACAAATTGTATGGACTAATGCACTTCAGGAAAACTTAAGCACTCTAAATGAAACAATACCCGATGTTTAGAAGCGACACAGTGACCTCAAAAAACGAACCTTTATGGAATTGGTCATTATGGTGGGTTTCCGCAGGACTTCCATAGACATTACGAAGTCCAGTGTAGAGGACAAGACCTAGAAAAGTGTCGACAGTCAGTTTCCGCCTAAATATGAGGAATAAATGCAGCAAGAAAATCAATCCAACGGTTAACTATTGGCCTGTTGTACACCTGAAGTAAGCATCAATCATAAAGGATCGCATTATTAGGTAAATGAATGTCCAATACCCTTAGGTCTCACTTTCGAGAATGTGTAACCCCTACTCAGCTTCTTGGTTGATACTCATTTTCGGTTGAGTGAGGTCTGTGGGGATATTTAGCTCTCTATAAAAATTCCAAATATGCCTCATACACTATCGTTTCACAAAGTCAAATCGTTGAATACTCTGTAAAGCAAACCTCATACAGTCTTATGACCGTTCACTCACCGAACACACTGGTAAAAGAGACTTCTGGCTCTCAACCAGGAACTCCAGATGCTCACGCACAACACAATGCGGATTCTCGAAAAGGTCCCGTTGCCTTTGTCGGCGCCATTGCTGCTGCAATGCGTCGTCAACATCGTCACCATGCTTCAAAGTGACGGGACCCGGATGGACACCGAGACGAAGGCAGCAATTCTGGCGGGGATCTACAGACAATTCGGCCTGTGAAAGGCAAGTGAAAGAAGTAAATAGATGAATGCTGATTGTAAAATGCGATTTGACTACCATACTGGGAGCATTGACTCATATCATTCCGGTTAAACTACCAATGTCCCGGCGTCTCTACGCAATCCTAGAATAATGTTCCATAAAAGGCTTCGTAGATGACTTGAATGCCATGCTGATAACAGAAGTAGGGGAACTGGAGTTGATGATTTAACCAATGAAGGTTCACACAAAGAATCCAAAACAGTGACCAATTAAATAGCTAAAAGTCTATCATGTATACTACTGAGAAGAGTTGAAATGGGGACACAGTGACAAGAGGGAATAGGTGCAGAACACTAGTTTCATGGAGCTGCTTTGAATTAGGACTTTCATCAAGTGCCTCGCCTTTTAGGTACCTGCCCCGATGAATAGAGGCTGGTCTATGAAATGTGGGAAAATGAAGAGAGATGAGGCAAAGGTCTTCCTCACCAAGTAATGTTGACCCGGTCCATAAGCCAGAATCAAACTCCTTGCGTCAAAGGCATTCAGCCGCACATCAGGTGGTAGGCAAGCTTAAATGCAAAAACTCAAAGTCAACTACCGAAACAGCTTCAGTAAAACCGAATATACACAAAAACCGATCACAAACCAGGATTCTCAATAACCGGTCCGCAGATAGCAAATAAGCAACAGAGGGCCTCCCATTCGGTTATCACAGTAAGGAGAAAGGTGTTTAAGTCGGACAAACTGTTGACCTGCGATGTAGGTGATTGGTGGAGCAGTTCGCCGCCATTGGCGTTGCCTGGGAGATTGGAGAAGGCAATGGTAAGACGCCAGCAGCGCATAGAAGCAGAGGTGGATGTGGCGGAGGAAGAAGTGGAGGGCGAAAGACGAGAGGAGCTGATTATTATTACGCGTCGGGCATAGCGGTGGAGGAGAGCGATACCAGGGCGTGCCCAGGCTGGAAGGCTCTTGGTGGGAATGCTATAAGACAGGATTTTGGTTTATTATAGAAATTTCACGACTAAAAGGCATGTCATCAACATTTTCTTCATTCTGGCATTTGTTTAGCTTGAGATTGCACAGGTCGGCATGCTCTAATACTTCAACAATACTTGAGCATTCGAAACAAATGAACTAAGTGATGTTTGAATCCGAGATAATTGGGCAAAGAATGGGTGAATGAATCAGGAATGAACACGGGGTGAATGAATTAAATGGTAGCAAAGAGACGGCTTCAGGAAGGAAGAATCGGAGACAGTGAATAGGCAAAAGCAAAAATGAAGCAAGTGTGCATGGATCCCAAGCGGATGACTAAATAGAAATCGGGATTTGTAAATAAGTAAATTAGAGATGAATGGATGAACATGGGTGGGACCCATAATGAGAGACGTTTCGTGGGAATAGTGATGGGAGAGGAAGATGTGGTTTTGATCTATGCTGGTTATTTTAAGACAACTGTACTGTTTTATTGCATTCAGCATGAAAATAAAAGGATAAAGACAGATGAACTCAAGTGAATCTCCTGCGCACCCGGAATGGGCGGATCGGGGATTGACAAATGCATGGATGTGACAGATAACTCCAGAATGCAAAAATGTGTGAGTCCGGAGTGGAGAGAATCAGAATGGATAAATAAAAAACGAACAGGTGAATAAGGTAATGATGGGCAGATCAACCACGGCCCTTAGACAAATTAACTAGAGAAACGTATTCCGTAAATCAAAGTAGAAGCGTTCGAATTATCCAAAGCCTATTGATTTATTCCAATAAAGCAACAGAGGACGGATGCATTTTCCAGCTAACACTATATCCACTACAGTAAGTGTATAAGGTGTATTCGCTAGTCAATTTCAATGACCACTTATTCATTTGTGAGAAAAAAGGTGTAAATAAACTACTTGATTCATGTGTCATTCACAACCAGCACCACTTCTCAAAGCATGGAAAAAGCAGACAAATGTAAACAAAAAGGAACCATACCTTCGAATAGCGATAGTCAGGATGTCACTTTGAGCATTATTAATAACGCCGTCGTGAGTGATCCCGTGCTCTGCCAGCTGTGAAGACAAACAACCAAACTGATGACGCCTGTTAAGAGTAATGTTACATTGACGGATAAATATGTAAATGAGGTCAAAAGATCAACAAGGAGAACAATGCCTTTCGAACTATTGCCCCCCACGGACTGAGGAAAAATAAGTAATATCTTCGAAATAGATGCGACAAATTCAAAGCTAACACAGATGCAATAAGAAGCATCCCTCATTTTGCAACCTTGGGTGACCCTTAAATATCACCACGATCTATCAAGTGGTCGAAAAAGATCATGGGATTGTTTACATGCATGCATTATAAACCATAGACACGCATTTTGTCACTTGTACTCCTCATTAAGCTATCTAAAATATTCTCATTCTCAACCTGTCTAGCATAAAGTGCCAGTTGAATAGGGTGGATATGAATCGAGTTTGTCTGCATGACGAACTTGAGCTCCTCCCAATCTCCATTATACACGATTTTGAGGGGTGGAGACAGAACATGGTTCCAGGAGAATTATAAAAAGAACCAGACAGAATGAAAGGCATATGAAAAGGTCAAATAGAGCAGAAATACAGGATACATACCTTCGCATTGAGCTCATTAACAATTACATCATCTTCCAGAGCGGCAAGGAGCCGAGACAGATCTGGCATCAGCACGGTGGAGGGAGACGTAGCGGCGGAACAGTCAGAGGTGGCAGACAGGAGCATCGCTCTATCGTTTGGTGGCAGGCGATCTATGCACCGGCGCTTAGCTTCGCTTGCCAAACCGCCTTCATCGTCCCTCGAGAGGTGTTCAAAGAGAGCACGGACTCGTTTCAAACGCCGACACACTCGATTACGCTGGACCTGAGCTGCAGCTTCACGCAGTTCTGCCAGCTAATTATGGAGGGAAGGAATTAGTAAAGCTCGGTTAGCTGATATTCTAGGACCCAACCAAGACCCACATTGAAGATAACAAAAAAATAGTCCTAATATCTATATTGCAAGAATATAAGGAGTAAAAGCCAAGACTTTCCGACACATTTTTCCACTCCAATTGGCTCAGCTTTTGAGCAATAAGCGGGTGATACAAATATGCACATGAGTACTAACACAGCCGGAGTAATATTCGCCGATGACTAGCTAACCTCGCTGGGCTGAAAAATTCTTGAGCACATGAGACTCCATCTAAAAAAGTAAGAGCAAGACCTCAAGGGAGGGGGTTCTACTACCCCAAAAAAGTCAAAACTCGTCTATTTCATATTTTTGAACGGCCTCGAAACTAGTTAGAGTAGTAACGTTCATAGAATGCATTACTACAGAAAATTGTCCAAGCGAAAAAACATCCCAACAAGGTCAATTCTGGCCGAATGTAGGAAAGTTTAAAGCTCCATAAATGTCAATAATTTTGTAGGAGAGACACTTCTAGGTATGTAAACATCTTCAAAACTGGGAAGATTCGGTAGTACGAGCAAATTGTATTGCGAAGGCCTTTCGGCCTTGGGGCACACCATTTCCAAAAGTGAGTTCAACAATCCACTAAAATCACTCCTCGTTTAATCTTGCAAAAGACTGCGTCGATTGTCTATCTAGGAGCAGACGATCCACGCACTGCTTGAATATTCAGTGGAATGGAAGTTGTTCTGTGCACTAGGAGCCACAACTACAGCTGGAATCATTACTGATGGCTATGTGTACACCCATTCTTAAAGCGTTTACATGTATGCAGACAAGCAGTACCACTGTTGCCTGTCCTCCAAATTAATGGTGCCTGCCGTCTGGACTAAGGTCATGGCATGTACCCTGGCTATGACACGGCTCAATCGTAATAATGCGCGTAATGTGCCGTTGTAGCATTCCTTTTCATAAGTATTTGTGACAGTAAAAGTGTCGATTTGATTTGAACGGCAATCTCCTCGCCCTTGGTAGAATGGAACTGTTTAGCTATGATGAAGAAAAGGTTCACTTTTCCACTTCAAAGAAACAACCTTATGTCAGCGTTTGACGACCGCCCACTTCTAGCTTCTCTGCATTGTCAAAAATAAAGCCATTACTAGACTCACTTTTCAATTATATGCCAGCAAATACTTAACGGTTCATTAAGACCGATCCATTTATGGCTTAAAAAAGGCATTTTTTCTTCCACGAGCAAGCGTACCCTCGAAATCCTACCCATAAAAACCCCATATACTGCATCATGAGGCGTCAACAGATCATGAAGCAGACAGTTAACTAAATTCACAAACTTGACTGAATGTCTTCGAAGTTACACAAGGCAGAATACAAGCAAACTGGTCAGGTGAAATTCCACGATCGGCATGAGGTCGGACGACCACAACATATGTTTTGACAAGTTTCAATGGATGTGCTCACAACTACTCAAACAACTGACATGAAAAACAGACACTTAACAATGAAACCCGACTTCCACTTTTGACATCTACACACAAACCAATAACGCAGCAAGATTTGGACTAAGTGGAGCAAGGTTACCTCAGAAGCCCAAGGAACTATCTTCAAAAAGGGAAGGTCTGTTATCATAAAAAGACGGGAATATGTCCTAAACAAATTTAAAAATTCGGTTTTTGACAACCAGATAAAGGTCTCTGTCAAATACGCTCGCCATTCAGCGTCGCCCAATCTTAAGAGATACTTTTCACTCGACATTATTTGACACAAAAAAGGGTGAAAACGGAGAATTCAAAACCACAGTTTAGCTTCAATGAAAGCGAAGTAAAATAACTGTAAGGTGACAAAAGAACGGTTCCCTCGGTTTATATAAAGAACAAATAGCTACACAAACAAAATACCAGGTTACAAATCCCACTTTCAACAAGAACCTCTTGTGTCTGAACGCAAACAACTTATCTTAAGTCACCGTTTCTTCCCCAATTTTATTCTTTAATTGCCTATCAGCATCTGGCCTACCTAATACCAAGTAAATGTGATAGGGGCCTGGAGGAATGTCAAAGAATGCCAGAGATGAGGATGTGACGGTATCTCCCCCCAATCTAGAGTGAAAATCTTTTCATAGGTGTTTTGCGGTAAAGGATCTTGTACTGCCTTGTGAAAACGGGACTTTCTTCCTACCGGTTCTCTAGCACAGTCTTCTGGGGTAGAGGTATTGCCCTAGAGATGCGGGATATTGGGTCGTCTAAGTATAGCTTTAGAATATAACTGCCATTTCCCACCACAAATCAACCGATCAGTCAGCACAGAGCATTTTTAAAACGTAAAGCGAAGAATGATTCAACAGTCATTTCAGCCCGTTTAGCTTTAGCGGCTTCTCCAATAGATGCAAATGTAAACGGATAGTTTCATCACTCGAGTAAAACAAGCGGATATTCGTGATCCATCTTGTTAGCTGGGACATGTAACCCTTCACTCTCAAAAATAGAATATTTCTCAATGTGATGCATCACTCGGAGTGGTTTATCCGCAGAATCAAATCGTTTCAAACATTTCCTGACGCCTTCCCCAAATGCAATACAGAGTGTTTTAAAAGAATTCCGCAACTTTGATGCCGAGTCAGATTCAAAATAAGAGCGGTAGAGCCCACATAAAGAATACTGTAACGATGGCAGACAGACCCCTACATATGCTTTAAAATCCATACATATAGACAGTCGCATGTATTCCACTAGTGCCTTCAAGTATCAACAAACAATTGAAGCAAGCTACTCCGAAAATTCCACGAACATTTTCGTCACCTTGCTTTTAAAAATGCTCAGATTTTGCGCCTTAAGATAGCCCACATCCTGGAGGAGCTGATGCTATAACACCACAACCACCAATCAATAGACGTCCATTTTTTTCGAACCAAGAGAATATATCGGTTCTGATCAGTCTATTTGAAAGGAAACCCCTTCATGACCGCAGAGAACAACTGGAAATTAACCTGAAGGCTGGAGTCGGCATTTAACAAAAAAGGCTCCTCCCAAACACCAGAAACTCACAAATGTTAACTTACTGATGGCTGCAAAATCAGAGACGAGTAGACCGCGTTTCCAGTCAAATCGCCAGAGGCCTCCTCCCCAATTAACGGCATAAAGTGGGTTATCCTCAGAGCCACTCCCGGTGGTGCGAGAACTCCAGCACTCTCTAATACTGACTGTTCCGGGTTGTGCGTCAACCACCGCCCTCCCGGTGCCACGTGAAGATCCGTGACCGTAATAGGCACGGAGACACACTTGAGGAGGTAGTGTCGATACCCCACTGTTAGTGCATCCGTCGGTGCCAGTTCACACAGAAGGTAGTGCTCATCATTGGGAAATAGTTTAATGAACACCAGAGCGACACGGTCCTGTCTTGCTCGTTCTAGCACCTCTACGTAGCCCGGTTGAGCAGCGGTGGAAGAGGGTGGGGGGACAGATAGTGGTAACGAATATCGTATAAAGCGCCCTCTATTCGCCCACCCAACCCTCCATTGACCAAGTAGGCAACGAAGACGTGAAAATATCTCCACCAATCTCGCCTGCCAACGCGTATCATCTCCAACAAGGCTTCGCATCCCGCGACTGCCCGCACGACAGTCAATAGTGGAGGTGCGATCCAGGGTGACTCGACGTGCTGAGGGACGGTTAAAGGCCATTTCAAGATCACGAAGGAGGGGAGCGCTGCGGACAGGATCAGAAGAAGGAAACGAGGCACGAATTTGACCCTGTGCTGCATTGATGCGGAGTTGGAGGATTTCGTGAGGGTGGCAGGGCCAGAGCACGGGTACGGAGAGAGAGAGCGGTACTTCCCCAATGGATATTGGGCCCGGAGAAAGGGGCAGGAGTTCATGTCTAATCTCCGTAAGCATGCGTTCAGCTCGGACTATGATTGTGCGAGTTAAGAGATTCTCAATTGAGAGACAACCACCCTTAACAAAGGAGCCGATTTTGTGCTCGTCGATAGTGTTTAATTCGGGATGATGAGTCACAGAGAGAGGCCGCTGAGGTTCCAATGGATTCACGTGAATGGTGATTGAGTAAATGGTCGGTCGCATTTTACCGTCAGGACCCATTACTGCCTGGTAGTTGCAATTAGACAATCCACGCCAGTAGACAACCTTGAGTAGCTGCCCCGGTCGATAGTCTTCGATACTAAATGGGTCTGTTGGACGTCGGGATCGCAAACGCTGGGCCTGCTCAAAGAGTACGTCCAATTGCAGAGACATTGCAAAAGCGTCTGTTAAAGTAAGAAAAAGATCCTTGTGCCAGTTATAAGCACGACTATACAAACTTTTTAAATCCCCCACAGCTAGACTCACAAAACAGTTGGATGAAGCTTTGCGCACAACACCTGTACCGCTATTCTTCGTCTTTCTGTTCGTTAATAACGATGCTACTTCCCAATCCAAACACTTTACAGTGCTGTCGGAACGCAATGTTGGCATCATTGTATCAGAATATGGTCTTCACCTCTTTAAGTACTGTTATTTCTCTGGCACTCCAAGGAACTCAGAGTTAATGAAGTCGCGTAACGGAATGGCTATGAGAGACGCGTCAACTTTTCACTGAGACTACAATCCAGATTTGAAGAAAGTGAGATCGTAAAAGGTGTCAGCGCCTCTTCGCATATTTAGTGAAGATGTAAATATCCTAGCCAGGTGATTCAAAAGGGACGGTAACGAAGCATAGAAAAATCATGCATTTTAAGTACTTTTGCCCCCCCCCCCCCCCAAAAGAGCAAAATACCATCTCAGCAGGATACTACCTAGCTAAGTGATGCTTCGGAAAAAAACGCAGTAACTTGCTAATGGAAACCAAAATAAGTAAATCTCATCAGAACAAATGAGAATCAGCACATCCGTCGGATCTAAAAGTCCTTTCGATGTGATGGAAGGTAATCATAATTATCTACACAGAATCATCACGAAAACCAGAGAAACGCCGTAGAATGACAAGTGTTTTAATTATGCACAGGGCTGAGAGACTTTTTATCTCATTATTCGACCCCCCATGATGACGACATGGAACTCAGACTAGGCCATACATGCCAGTAATCTTTCAAACCCTCTACAAACTAGTAACGAAGCTACCTTTTAACTTGTATATCTCAAAACTCCTCTAAGGGAGTATAAACGGTTTCAAGAAATCCAGTTCACAAACAAAACTTACGAAGCATGTCATAGAGATGGGTGAGAGGAGGACGCCTGTCAAAACGTGAATCAAGAATACGGGATTGAGCATGTTGCAACAAGAAACGGGTCTGTTGTGGATGAATAAGTGGTCCACTGGCTAAAAAAGATTAAGAATTACAGATCAAAGGAATAAGCGGAAAGAATTTAAAAAACTTACAACTTCTATTCGGATCAGAAACAAGAAATTTAATGCCGATTATACTCCAGGGAAAATCTAGTGCCTCTGAGAGTAATGTCAGAGTAACACTAAACTCGTGTGGAACTGTGAAAATTACCCTTCCATGCTCTAAAAAATCAGTTTCCTTAAAGAAACACTTACCGATGGCAATGTTAGTAAAACGCCTCGGACATGAGGACACACTAAGTCGGTACTTTATTATCCTGTTCAAATCCGGCAATCCCATTCTAATTTCCTCATTAGATATGGGTTCTGGAGGAGTGAATCGAGCCTGAGTGTACATTTCTCATCTGGAATGAATTGTCTCACTTTAATTGCTTTTGGTAGACGTGTGTATGTTTTATTAACAAAAATATCGATTGCCAGCAGCATGGCAAAGGGAGGCAAGCTAAAAAGATAAGATCCCAAAAGTCAAACTACCGAGCAGAAATAAGATGATTTTGGTGGAGAAAAGATAAGATGTTGGCGGTATCAAGAAGAAGCATACTCTGTTCCTCGAGGAAATTTGAAATTTTCTTAGAAAATAACTCAGAGTGAGTGATCAACAAACCTCACACTTATCCACTTTCGAAGAAGTATTAGCCCATTTTGTAAGTGCTTCCAGTCGAATAAACAGATTCCTCGTTCGACTGAAGAACTTAGCCAGCTCGATTTTCTTCTCGAGGTCTGTTTTGCTTGGCAGACTTAGTACGTAAGAACAAATTTCCAACCCACAGGTCAACCAAGTGCATCAAATCTGTGTAGGTTTTCTGGCACATAAATTCTATCAGAAGAGATAACTGCACCGGCCTAGGCCGAGGAGTCACGAGACCACCGACGGACATTTTCAAGCGGCTTATAAATGCAGCCCATAACACTCCAAAAGCATATTAGAGCCCAATAGAATTCGAGCGATATGACCTTAAGTTTGATGGAATTTGTCGTCTTGTTATTTTATTTCCAGTTAATCGCAACAAATAATGCATGATTATTTTATTTTGTTTGCGTAAGATTAGGGAAAGCAGAAATGCCAAAACGTGAAATTTTCGGTCAAAGGCAGGTGTAGTTGGCATATTGTAACTCATTCCTCCAGCTTTATTTACTTAATTAAGAATGCTAATGTTTTATTGTCCCCTGCTCCTGCACAAATCGATTATGTGCTGTATGGACATTTCTTCATTGGTGAGTTTGGAGGGATTTTAACCACAGTGTCACCTTTTTAATATTTGTAGCTAATTATAACTTCTTGATTGAATTTATGCAGCTTTAAGAAGAAGTATATTTAAGCAATAACGAAGCCATTTGAGACTTTTTTGAAGATGGAAGAAGACATAGTACTCGGGCGGGATGTATGCGACTTACATGGCCTTGTGGCCTACCGGCATGGCCCAGCCACAATGGCATAGTGCCCGAGTGATCCCGAGAGCTAAACAAGCATCCGAAGCAATACAATGACTTCGAAATTGGTACTTCTATTTTCAACCTTACTAAGCTAATACCTAATGTTTCATTGACATGCTGGTCTTTTTGGAGTGTTACGGATCTTTATGACCCCCATACCATTAAATCTGGCCGCTAAATCACTATCCTTGAAAAATGCTATTTCATTTTGTCGGCTATTTTCCCATGCACATGTACTGCCTTTAATATTGTCTGAAATTGCAATTAGTTACAGTGGTATGACAGAAGAGCTGGAAAGCTAATGCCACGGCTGGATGCCATGTCACCGGTCGAAAATATTGTCTCTGGGGTCTTAGGTCCATGCGTAATCAAAAGAAGTGTTTATTAAATTATCAAGGTATTAAACAATACCATAGTGCTCGTTCGTCCTTTTATATGATCCGTACAACCTAATCATCCCAAATTGAAACAGCTTGTTAAGGGTAGCTTTGAAAATACCTTTTTAAGCAGCAAATTGTATATCTCAACCATATCGACTGTTGGCAGATCCCGCATTTCCCTCCTCCACCTCTGGTTTCATATCCTCAAAATAAGAGGTTTGCATGGAGGATGGCATCTCATATTTGTGCAATATAGAGGAGGATTACAGGTTACGAAAGTTTCTAAAGAATTAAAGTTCATCGAAGCCATGGGAATCAGTGACGTCTACTCAGCCAAGAGGCCGGTGTAAACTTTCCGCTTGTCACCTAAGCCATGTATTTAAACAAATATGTGTCGTAGTTCGCTCTCAGATTAGATACTAGCAAATTCGGTGCTTATTCTTAAGATATTTTTCTACGAAAAGTGGAACTTCACTCATTTATGGCCTTAGCTGTCACCAAATAAATCTATTCCAAATGCATGGAATTTGTATTGTCTGATACATATGATGCATTAATGATACTCAATATTTTCAATTCAGAGGAGCTTTTTCGAGGGAAAAAGATGTAACACTCACTAGGCAATAAGATTTAAGTTAGTAGTTGTATACAGGATTCAACTTCGTCAAAGATCCTCACAATCTACCTAGTTTGTTTTATTTCCAAACTTTTGTACAACTGGCAAAGGGTGCAATTTTTTAATAAGCTGTAAAACTGGCAATAGATTGTAGTGGAAAAAAACGCAAAGCACCTTCCAAGGTCATCAAATCCATCTTTGGTTCCACCGTAAAAGCACGACTGCATTCCCATTGTCCAATTCTAACTTAGCTATTTGAAAAAAAAAGTAATCAAATGCCTTTGACAACCTCCTGTGACGGTTGCCTTAACAAGTAGATGTAGCAGTAGCTTAGAATTTGCCATTGTTTGGTAAATCTCGCAACAATGTTTTAAATCCACAGGCTAAAAGTGTGAACCGTGTCAGAGGTGCGTGATATCAGTTCTGAGGTCATGGAATTACCCTAATTAAAGTGCTTTTGCACCATTCCACCCAGAATAAATGCGAAATAAAGGTCTATAGATGAGATTTGAGACATTGTGGCTACACGGTAAATACCTGAAATTATAGACAAGCTTATAGGTGACCACAGGCAAGACCTTGGAAACTACTAGAGATGAGTGGACTCTCGAGGGTTGACATCAGCAATGTTTATGCAAAAGGTGTGTGCCAGACCGGCTGACGTAAATTAACAGCATTGTCATAAGCTAGTTGTTATTGTCAAACACCAGCATCTGGCATTTAGTTCTTAGAGTTTGGACGGATAAGCCAATTGAAATGTTTAACATTCAGGCGAATTGGCCATTTTACAATTGATGAAGTTTTAGGAGTCATTGCCTAACCAATTTTTTTGTATTGAAGTGTTAACAGAGCCGTGACTACTCGGGTAAACACTCTTCTGCCAGTAATGACATAGGAGTGCGTCCAGCCACCTCAAGGCAACAGTTATTTCGGATGCCACTGTTACATTTATTTACCCGTGTGGTAACGTATCACTCAAATTATCCCTTAGTGAGCCTCGAAGTAAAATTTTTTAAACCGACAGAAGGACTAGAGGCCTGGTAGAGGCAGGAAGGTCACGAAATGCCATTTTTCCATCATTTTCTGCCTATTCCACTATTGGCGCTTCTTAGGGTGAGGCGTGGAAAATTTGCGTGCTTTGGTTTAAGTTACGCTGGAGAATAAGCCAATCACAGGACTTGGCATCAACACCCTTACAATCTCCAAATTTATCAGGCTTTTTAGAAAATTGCGAAATTTTTCTAAAGATAAACAATGAATAGTGCGGTTCTGTTACTTGCACGAAGCAGTTCAGCGATGGAGCCGTGCTTTCACTGGCATAGGGCTATAACGAGAGTAGAACACGGAACCGAACCAGACAGGGTAGTGTTCTCTCCAATCCTCGTGATTGGACAGGCGAGTAGCCGACCTTACAAAGAGTCAAATGCAACACCAATACTAAGGACTGTTTACCGACTCAATGTAGGGGCAGCGGGTGCTACTTTGTGATGGCGGCCATAGTGGCAGGTAACAAAAAAATGAAAATGGAAAGAAATGAAAGTAGTGCCTAGACTATGGTTAACCGCATGGATAATCTATTCTGTTATTTGCTTTTTGAAGAGATATTCTAACCAAAAGCTAATAACGCGGTGCAGTGAAGTCAAGCAGCCTATTTATCCGGTCAAGGGTTTTCGTGAACCTGAAGTATCGCCTAGCCGGTATGACCTAAAAACCTAGAAACAGAAGTCACGTCTACAGGCCCGGTTAATCAAAAGTTTTTATGAGACTCAACTGACATTGGAAATTTGTTTGGATGAGTACCTAAAAGATGAGCAACACCACTTACTGGATATACATAAATATAAGCAAATTAGTGCCTGCTTACACCCTCTTTTTGTTAAGTCTTCTGCTGACAAGTAATACTTTGTTTATCAACCTTTCAATAGCTAAGCATCAAGTTTTTTTGAGAGTCTTACAATGGGCCAAGTGGTCGACGAACTCAGCATCTTGGAGTGAACTCCACCCATCAAAGCCATTACCAAGATCAGCGATTTTTAACTTTCCCGTTTTCCTTTTTTGAAAAAGACTAATTAGGATTTTAACATCAGGAATTTTCGGAATCAATTTGTCCCAGATTTTACAAATGGTAAACATGTACAAAGGCCAAGGCGTCAAAAAAGAAGGAAAATTACAACCGAAGCGTAAACAGGCAACTAGGATGGACACTTTACCAGGTGCTAATCAGAAAGGTGGGCAAGTGTAAACGTGACCTCGTGCAGCCTGTTCTTTTCTGCCGCCTTTTCTGTGCACCATTCTAGCAAGGTGACTGCAAAACGCGTGACAATAAAGATCCACCAGCTTCCCTTCCTTTCAACATTCACAAAGAAAAAAAGTGAGCCAATAAAAGGGCTTATCAGTCGAAAAAAAAAAAGCACTTTGAGAAAGATTATCTAAAATTCGGAATTTAGAAACACAGAGGTAATTAATTTGAACAGAAGACATTCGATGGAAGAAGTTGAGGGAAAGCAGCTGTTCTCAAGATGAGAATGCAAAATTTGTAAATTTTTACGGCTAAAGACATTATTTCACTTCTGAAACCGCAATGTGAGGATTCATTCTAACAAAGCAGATCAGAAAAGTGTGCGTAAATTTACTAAAAATGTCAGGTAATCTATTGGCTGATCAGCGCGTCAAATAATGCATTCACGACGTCTTTCCTATTCAACCCGCTTAATTAGCAGAGCATTCGCATGAAAACCACCCTCGAATCACTAAATCTGAGCGAGCCCAAATCGCCTCACTAATTTGTCGCATCCCGTCCACTACCCAGACCGCTAAATGGACCAACTTTAATTGGCCACCACTGCACGGGTCATTATGTACACTTGTGACAAAATGCTGGATAATATTTTAGGTTATTACACGTTTAGGAAGGCCCCGGTAAAGAAAACTGACTTTTGCCTTAAGCAAAAGTAGTAATTGACTCAGATTAGTGTCTACGGGTGGCCTGTGAAAGGCCCTCATTCTGGAGTAAAATTTAACCCATGTGACCAGGGCAAAAGTTTGAGGTTCCAATTAACCTTCTGTTCCAATAGAAGGAATAGGTGAAAGTGGGAAGTTAAATTTCTGATGTTTTTTGACAATCTACGGTGTTCATATGCATCTGTCTGGCTATGCCCAACTGTAATACGTTGAATAAGCATTTACGCACGTATTATTTACGCAGTTCTTTTCACCATTTGTTTGCTTGTGCCCTTGTACCAGCATATTTTGAACGCAAGCACAAATGTAGGTCATGTTACACCAGCAAAATAGCCGTTTCTGTAACATGCAGAACAGACATGGTATTCAAATAATCTCCAGGATGGATGGATGGACGGATACAGGATGGATGGTCAAAAGTCATTTTTGAGGAACTTTGCAGTAAAAACGTAGCCGTAAGCTATAATCTACCCTTGGAGTTTGACTTTCTAACTTGAATATTCATTTATCTACCGATTTGAATTTGTTCATTACAATCCAGCACGACATGATGTAGTTGCCCATCAAAACGCCCTCTTATCGGACAAGGAAATGTGAGCTGAAGTAAAGGGGAAAATGACTTCAAAGGCGCATTTTAATGACAAAATTTGCTTCTTAAAAAAAGTGTAAGACCTTAGCATTAACGTGTCAAGAGCTTCAAATAATATTCAATCTGACTCATGAAACATTTTGTTTTCACCTGTGACATAACCAAGATGAATGGCGAAAGCTAGGCAAGTGGGTGCCACCTACATATGCACTGACAGGTGACAATGAGCTTCAAAGCCTACCAAGTTGCCCGTTGCTTCTTCACTCTCACCTTACAACAAAATGATGCAAATTCGCAACCTTGAGACACGTTGACCACTATCTTCTCATAAAAAGATCGCATTAAGAATGACCAGTTATGCCATTTGTCCGCTTAACACTCGAGCACATAGGACATTTATCACCACAATTTTCGCAGTAGTCATCGTAAAGTGCATTTCTTCAAAGTGAAGTATGGAGGTGAAGGCCATCAGTGACATGATTTGGCATGACGGTTTGACATTATGCAAAATGAACGAGAGAGCCCCCAGCCTTGTGATATAGTGCTGCTTCAGCACCAGAATCAAGCACTTTTCGGACACCACATTCTGCTGTCTTAGCTCTTCCAAATGCTATAGAAAGAAACAAATTTTTCCAGCATATTCCATAGATTGGGGAAATCAGTGTTCAAAGTTCACTTCACACCAGACTTAACAGACATTTGGTGGAAAGTCGGAAAACGGAGAAGGAAAAAATGGTAAAGACCAATGATGGATTGGCACGTATCTGCTTTGTAACATCTTAATTATGAACATTGGCACATTTTACAAAAGCCACAAAATTATAACTGATCATTGCAGTGAAGTATGTGGAAAAATGCCCGAATGACGTTGCGCAAACAAGTTTAGAAGTTTGTTCAAGCAAAAAATGAAGAAAGCTATCGAGGAAATTATCTTGACTAAAGACACTGCAAAGGGAATGCAATATCGACAAACAGACAAGAAAAATACCATCATTACCTTCCTAATACTCAAATAAGAGGCGTGTTTTAATAAAATTTCCCCCATGCGATTTAAATGTAACACGGAGATATCTCAGGTGTCACACGAGAGACATGAACCCGGGACGAAAGTGGATGGAGGGATTACCTTAAGGTGAAAAGGGAATGAACTGGAAGTGGACACGTCTGCCTGCCTTGGGTCACTCACCCGCTACGAATTCAGCCCATCCATCTCCCCCTATTTCGTCTAGCTGTTTTCATGTCGAGTTACGCTGCTGATTGATGACCCAAAAAACCGATGTAGTAAACCTTAAAATTCCCTACCAGAATTCAGGTGAACCGACTATACAAAAAAAAAAAAAGAGTGAACATGTTTCAGATTTGACCCGTGAATCGTTTAGTAGGACATCGCACTTTATGCGCACATGTTTACCATTCGGTAGTGAAAGGAGTTAATGGAGAGGGACAAGCTTAAAGATAATCGCGAAATAAATAGAAATCGAATTAAGAAATGAGAGCACGTTGATTAAAAGTAGGTGGATAGATAGGGGGGGGGGGGGTGAGCCAACGACTTCATCACTAGCATCAACAAAACGCCATTGCCGACATCAGCAACAACGATGTCAAATAGATAGAAAGAACGGAGATACGGGTCATGGTTGCATTATTAGTGAGGGTGATTGGAGTGATGAGGGGGACTAAAATGGAGGTAAGGCGAAGATCTACTTGGCGGCGGCAGGGGTCTGGGCAGGTACGGCATCTTCGACATTCTCAAAAGGCGCGGGCATCTTCTCCTCCCGCGGCTCCACTCCCCAGATGTCATGGGCGTACTCTCGGATGGTGCGATCGGAAGAGAACTTCCATGCACCCGCAATGTTGGCTAGAACCATTCGTGCCCACCGCATCTCGTCCTGTATGTGGAAAGGTGGAAGAGTTAGCTAAATAGATAGAAACCGTTCTGTAATTTTCTCTCCTTAGTGCTTGAGGACGGGGTAGGAGCGGTCAGCAAATTGGAGCAGTGGAGTGGGTAAGATTAGTCGGTCATTTAACTCATATTCTGCAATTCTCTCCCCCTCCCATCCCACAGACACTGCGTTTAGCTCATCTAGAATGCATGTCTAGACGAATAATTTTAAAAGTAAAGGCTAACTTCTAGTTTGATTGCCTTTTCAGAAAACTGTTATTTCTATTTAAACCTAGCATGGTTTCGAGACTTCAATTTTCAAGGTCCTTTACCGTTCATCAACACCTGAGAATGTGAGTTCTATCTTTTGTCTGAATAAAACCGCAATTTGTCAACAGTTATCCGACATGTGCAACCATTTCGAACCACCAATTTCGCCCTTAACCAATCGAAACCTTCATGTTCAAAGCTATGGAGGTGAATTTTTTCAGGACATTTGTAGCCTATAATTAGTAACCCCCGACTGAAACGAAATAACCGCTTGTTCTACCATAGCGATGCAAAAAGCTTTTTCGATATCTGACCAATTTCAAAAAGGTCACTTTGCAAAGGAGTCGATCTTCGCGCAAAAAGTGCCAAAGCAATAGGGGCAAGAGGAAAGAGGGGAAGAAAGGACAACAAGACTTACCTCATAGGCCTTGTCAACCTCAGCCTGAGCCCGCATGTAGTCTGCAAAGTCGGCACAGAGCATGAAGCGGTCGCCAAACATCATGGTCTTATAGATGTCCCTGAAAAGATCCGGCTGTTCGGGTGAGAAAAAGCCGCTATTCAGCTGCTCCAAAACTTGCTTCAATTCGGGGCAGGCATTGATGAAGTCCTGAGATTTGTAGCTACAAGGTAAGACAAGCAGATGGACCTGCATGCTCATATCAATGAAATGGGCCTTGCTAATTTGTACACGACAGCCAGGGAGGCGAAAATATTCTTGGTAAAGTATTGGAATGTAATGAAGGTATTGAGTTGTTTTATGGTTATAGATGAAATCCATTTCAGGAGTTATCAGTTTAAACTCCCATCGAGGACACCTGATGCTCTTCATAGATAATGGCAAGTAAAAAAAAACAAGTCTGACATAAATGAAACCGATTTAACGGGTGTTCTAAGCTTGTCAAATGTCAGCAACGGTAAGAGGTCATGAATGTCAAGATGGAGAAGCAACCTAATCATAAGTTTAAAATTAGCCTTTACCTCAGGAAGTCCTTTACCAACTTTTAGACTACGAATGGCTTTTAAGGGAAGTACTGCGGTAAATCGTCGTCTTAAATGATTCATGTTAATAGGAACCCGTTTAACAACTATTTAGCCTGTTATATAACCATAAACATCCATTCATGCGTCGGGGAAGATAAATGACTGATTGTAAAATCAGCCAACAAATAAAAACCCTTAGATCAACAAAAAAGCAATCATACATTATGACGCAAAATAATTTCAGATTTCAAATTCACTTGCAATTTTAATGTTCCTGCTTTATTCTGGAGCATGCAGAAGTAGATGAATGCCTCCACTTCAGAGAAGAAAGAAATAAAAATTGGTCGAAGCTTACTTTATGATGAAGAAGACTAGTAAATCGTGAAATGCTAAGGCCAGATAATGAATCATTTATTCATGAATGGAAAAGACTACCGAACGTAAATGCGCAACACGGGTGAACATGTCTGGGAAAGATTAGCTGAAATATGAACTCTTCGCTTAATCGGGACAATAGGTATTTCTTTGTGAAAAATAAGAAGGAACTGTTACAAATGGTACAAGGAAGCTAATAATATAACCCTTAGAACTATCATATATACGATAGCTTTGCATCATTTCAAAACTGCCTCGAATGAAAGCTTTGGTGTAGTTATATTTGTGCAACATCTCTGGTCTCAGCTATCATGAGAACTACAAACAATTTAGGTCGGTTTTAACGATGGAAGCTTTTTGCGAACCCCAATAGAGGTAGATTTAACACCTCAAAACATGAATAAAGGAGGTGTCAGACACTCCAGTCGATGATCGGCAGGCAGTTGTAACCTTAATTGCAAATTAGTCAAAAGCTGTGCGGAAGATCTGAAAGTGAATTCACTCAGACCAAACTGTGTGTGAAATAGTAGCGTCTTTGTAGCAGTTAACAACACTGGATTATTTGAAAAAGATTGAGGAGCCGAAGAAGTTAAATAAGGGATTTCTAATGAACCGAACTAGTAGACGGAACTTGGTAATACAAGGTAAGATGAACTCAAGAACGCCATGACGAAGATTCCAGAATTTGTGCATCTGTTGAGCTGAATCCCAATTCAGAGAAATGATTGAGGAAGACAGTCAATTTTGAACAACCACAACCAACCAATCCTACATCTGTTTATCGAAGTAGGAAAAATAAAAATGAAGAGGGATTGTTCTGGAATAGCTAACCGACATTGGACTAACCAAACCGCATCTATAAGTCAAGGAAGACAGACGAATCAGGTTATTAATTCCACACATCAGATGAGATAACTTTGGGTTAGATTCCATTTCAAGAAAGTAGACGAAAATGTACACATCCGTTCTTAAGGAACTTTAGTGGTCAAATGAAGATATCTGGATGTGAATAATTTTAATTAAAAATTCTGATGTCCATTTACGAAAGAAGAGAATTTATTCTGAACGGAGGGTGACGAATGAGTTGCCTACCCTTTGCGGTTGAGTTCCTCAACCTGTTCCACAGTCATGCCGAAGATAAACATATTTTCTCGTCCGCATTCCTCGCACATCTCAATGTTGGCACCGTCCAATGTGCCCAAAGTGAGAGCTCCGTTGAGCTACAAAAGGTCGAATAATTCATTTAACTAACCAATTAGCTTTAGTTGGTCAATGTAGACAATACGCCAAATTCAATGCACAAAACAATTTCGATTTGAGTAGTGCTTTTATAGTCTTCCATTTGTAGCCAATGAAATTTCTTTTTTCGAAAAATAGGTAGATTAAAAATATTCGTAGTTCTTAAGTCTATTTTGATTGACTAGTGACAAGGTTACTAGACTGGCAGTGCGATGATCTCCTGTCCAGCTGATACTGCGCTCAAAATAACTTAAAATTCAATAAAGCCATAAAAACACGTTTTTAAAGATAGCCATAAAAACGGACTAGGAAATTACGTCGCATTATTTCGAAAACTCGGCACTTTACACAAAGGTTAGACTTTAGTCAGTGAGTTGGGCAATTCACCAAGGCCATGATGAATGGATGTTACTTTCGTCATCGAAGACCAAATCATGTTTAAGTTATGCAAAACAAAAACGTATCGGAAAACGTGTGCCTACTTCCTATCATACAGACCATATTATTTGATTGCTTTTAACAATTTAGGGAGCCATTATCCAGCTTTAGTTTTACTCCCCTTTCTGAATGTGTGTGGAAATTACCTAGCAGAAGTAAGATTTAAGACTCAAAGCAACCCTCTCTTACCAGGTCTTAAGATAAAGTAAATTGGCTGGTATATTACAGGCCTGCATGACCAGTAAAGCATAGCCTTGGACAAAATTTTGTATTTTTAAAGGGGAAAAGCGCGACATTACCTGATTTAAGTTTATTACGTGATAAAAAGTAATGCATAATGACCCTTTAAAAAGTCTGCGATTCCGTATTTCCATTGGAGTGTATTTTTTGGTAGATGCATGGAGCACTCCTAAAAGCCTCAAATCTGATTAATTTAGCTCTCACTTGGCCGCCAGAAACCACCACGAAGATATCACCTAGTAAGTTAAGAGGCAAGCCGAATCGCAATGATCGTGATGAATAGTTTAGCTACTACAAAAAAGTTTCTAAAAGAGCACTAAAGTCCAGAAAGAAGAAAAGGCAAATTCGGAGGTTAAGAAGAACCTTGAGTAAATGAAATTGAAGTCAGACAGAGGTCGTTAAAATAAAAAATGACAAAAAGTTCTTTTCTCAAAATTTCAACAAAGTAGCTGGTTTTTTTGGAACAATGTATTTTAAAAATCAACTTAAGAATCATTAATTAAGAAACCCAAAAAAACTGTTTCTGCTCCTGCGTACGTGGCTCTACCATTTGATGGGAGTATTCGACAACTTGGAGAACTCCAGTCAATTTTAAGCTAACAGATTTTCTTTGTTAATGATAACACAAGGAAACCACTTAAGGAATTTCAGCGTAAAACTTGATACATCTCTAGTCTTAGAGGCTAAATATGATCAAACATTTAGAAGCTTCAAATTAGAAAGCCAAGCAGACGAAGTTGATTGATTGAAGTCTGTTGGAATTCAACAATAAATTCACTTGTTTTCTGGTTTCCAAAATGGGTTGAAACGTAGAAAATGAAGTCCGTCACTTAGAGAAAACTAGGAAGAGTAGTAAGCGGAACAATGACGCTCACCATGAACTTCATGTTGCCAGTGCCCGATGCCTCAGTGCCGGCAGTGGAGATCTGCTGCGACAGGTCCGCCGCGGGGAAGATCTTTTCAGCCAAGGAAACCCGGTAGTTCTCCAGAAACACAAGCTACATCGCCGCCAACAACAGGAAAAATCGACAAATTAATACTAGTCACTTCTATCATTGTTGGAGCACCTCACCCTCCATCGTCCGTTCATCACTTCGTTACCTGATAACCTACTTGCACACTTGTCTTTGACTCAAAGTGTCACCTGTCCATCTCCACCATAATGTATCTATCAACATCGGCACATTTCAGTAATTTACTAACCACATACTTTATTAGCCACTGCTCAACTCGCAGAGACAGTCACAACTACTTCCACAAATTTGATGAATAAATAAACGAATGCAGGAATGAGCGAGTGGTTGGGTCCAGAGTAGAATGATGGGCGAATGAGTGGAATAATGCATGAATGGCTAAAACATATGAAAGATATCCACGAACCTTGAGTCTTCCACGCACAATAGGGTCATTGTTGATCACTTTACCAACAGAGTTGATGAGTTTGATGATCAACTTGGCCATGTGATAGCCAGGCGCCGCCTTTCCACCAATCATTACAGTACGCGGCACCATCTTCAAGTTCGGATTCGCCTTAATCCGGTTGTACTGCGCGATCACGTAGAAGCAGTTCAACAGCTGGCGCTTGTATTCATGGATGCGCTTTACCTGCAATGCAACGGGAAAGCAATCAAAGGTAAATCTAGTTCTTTTCCTAAGCTATGGTGATACTTTTTTTGAATTTAAACACCTACAATACCTCAGTTAAACCTTATAAAGGATAATCAATCTTCAAACCCAATTTAGCTTCATTCCTCCACTGCCACTTCTTTCATTCATAGTTTAAAAGACTGTCTAATAGACCAATTTACTGATCTTTTTTGTAAAAAATTCGTTTAGAGTCTGCATCACAGTCAATGAGTAAAAATATTTGCTAAAGGACGCACTCCTCAGTTTCAGAGGAAATTCTTGCATAAAAGTAACAAGCACCAAAACATCTTGACAAAGTGAACGAAAAAAAGTAACACGAATAATGAGTCGTTCTTCTGGTAGACCGAATAGTACCCTAAGTCCTGATTTTTCAAGCAACTCCCTCCTTTCTCTATCACTAAAAACTGAAAACGCCTGCCCCTCCAATCTCATTGTTTTATGGGGCACTTAGCAGCAATTTAAGCTTGTTAAAAGACGAATTTCCAGGTGTTATCTGAGGAGGCAAGATAAACTATCAAACAGGCACGAAACCTCAGTCAAAATTCACTTTAGCGACCATTAATTGGCCTCTATTTTATTCGTAGCCAGTATTTAAACATAACTTTTGCAGGACTAGCTCCAATTTGGCACATTCCAAAATCAGTCAAGCTGGTGAAGCTACACGAATAATTCCAATGAGTGGCCAAATGGCGATAGAAGGGTGAGGTTTTTAGTAAACGAATCTAGTTGGGTTTCCAGTGAACTTGGTGAAAGGTGTTGACAACTATTTTTTTCCAGAAAATAGAAAAAGGCACGACCTAGACTAACCAGGGAATGTGATTATACTGCCATTACCCTATTTTCAGTTACGAAAGCTAGTGATTTTTTCAGCAAAATTAGGCGAAACTCAACCACTGGGGTCCATATTTTTGACCGAATGGATAAATTGCTGCGAGGAAGCCACAAAAGAAAACTTCTGCATCTACTTCGTTGATTTAAAAAATTAATCAATCCGTTTGCGACATGACTGTGTGCGATCAGCTGCCATGAACTGATAGAGATGCCCAAGTAATGTATTTGGGGCGTAGGGATCAAATAGGAGGGCAGGATGTTACATCCTGTGGCCCTGGAAGCAGATGCATTAATAATGGAAATTTAGTCATTTATAGAAAAGTCGAAAGGAGACATACCCCAGTATACTTTACAGTTTAACTGACATTGAAATGACTTCACGAGAAAACCATGAAATTTGTGTAAATTATGAAAGATTGATTGCTTTTCGCACTTGCTAACCCAACCCACTTGCAAAAACGTCACAAATTCATCAGGGCTGCTTATCTGAAATGAATCCAATTCGGGAGAATTTATCTCCCCACCTCACCTGAATATCAAACATTGTAGAGGGATCGATCTTAACGTTCTGATGCTGTTCCATGTATGAGGCAAACTTGGCCTTATTATCCCTTTTGATACGCATCAAGTTGAGCAGAAATCCGACATTGTCCGACATTTTGCGAAGATCCTTCAACCGCTCAAAGTGTGTGATCCAGTTGTCATCTCCCAGGGCCTCCATAATCTCATCTGACAGCGAAGGATTGCACAGCAGGAGCCAACGCCTTGGCGTAATGCCGTTGGTCTTATTTTGGAACTTATCAGGCCACAGTTCGTAGAAGCTGTGGAACCTAGATTTAGAGAGGCTAGACTCTGGTAAACTAGTTAAACGATATTTATAGAAGCTGGAAGAGCGCTAAAACCCACGTTTCGCGTTTGAGAATATTCGTGTGGACCTCTGAGACGCCGTTCACAGCGTGAGAACCGATGATGCAAAGATAGGCCATGTTGACGCGCTTCTCTCCGTCCTCCTCAATGATAGACATCCGACGCATACGATCCAAATCTCCGGGCCATTTAGCCAGCACCAGCTATGTTGAAAAGGGGATATTTCAAGACCATATTTAGTGTTCTACCCTTTCTTTCTATTCAAGTTCAGCTAGAACTGATGAAAATGCAGCTATGACGAGAGGACCCATTTACTCTTTGCTGTGGATGGCAAAGACGAGTGCTTTAAAGAGATTTCCAAATCGAGAAATCATGATGCTTTAAGGGAACATGTTTGTCGCAGTCTTTTAGATTCAAAACAAGTTTCACCCTGGAGCGAAGACGGTTGTGAAACACGTCAAATGAATTGGGATACGAAACAGCATACCGTCATACACAGAATGTGAGAAAACACGCTGTCAGCATAGGTGCTCATTATGCGGATAGGATTTCCACTAGTACGTCTATGGGTGGCTTAGGAGGCTCAAAAATGACTGCGTTGAGCTTGGAAATGCAGGGTACTCCGCAGCCCAGTCAGTTATAGTTACGACCACAGCAAACTAAAAACAATTCCTGAAAATGCTTTTCTCAAGCAAAAAGATAACTACTAGGGTATATTTATCACAAGGGAAGGTAATCAACTGGAAAAAACAAAGGCGTAATAGCTGTTTCATCTATTCAAAGACAATATTTAAATTCTGCATCACTGGTCCTCATGGAATATGTGCCCAATATTTATCCTTACAGGAACCACGACAAAACTCGTTCATTCATCACCCCTAACCTGCAAAAACTCATGGTTAATGCGGTAAATGATCTCCAGGTGACGCGGAAGAATGTGCTGGAGCATACTGCAAGGCCAGCGTTCCAGAGCCTCAGGCAAGATGGTATGGTTTGTGTACGCGAAGGTGGCACAGCTGATCTTCCAGGCCTGGAACATAAGCAAAAGAGAGACTAAAATACTTCTAAGCAGGCAATTTATGCATTTATAAAGTTTTATGCCTTATAACGCCCCTTAAATCGACTTCAAGGAGAGTTAGGCACTCACCTTTTCCCATTCCATGCCTTCAATGTCGACCAGAACACGCATCATCTCAGGGATGGCAAAGGAAGGATGTGTATCATTCAATTGAATAGCAACCTTCTCGTGAAGACGGTCGAGAGACCGTGGCCCATTTATTGTGATGCGGTAGCGTCGAATAATATCCTAACGTTTGTAGGGGAAAGGAATAGGAATTTAGCACTCCGAAACGTTCAAATCTTCGTCCATAATTTATGAATAAGTTCCTAAGTCTCTATAGGCCATAAAATACACTGAGTGGTACTCCAGACATTTGTATTTGCAAGAAATCAAATTGATTAAATCAGTTATAGAACCTTCAAGCTCTATTACAGTTTAAGTCCAAAAACAAACACTTCCAAATGAACAAGAAGAAAGTGTTTGGGAAATTATCCAAGCAGACCATGGGGTAGTTTCAAGACTACCTAAGAGTTGACTGAGTACTCGAAATAGACAACTAAACGTTCATTTAGGAACCAAAAACTCAGACACGGTTAAATTAAGGGGATTACCTAATCGCCTATGATGCTCCAATAATTTGAACCCCAAAAGCCCAACCTAATAAAAGTACTAGGTAAAGCCGTTGGAATGCTCTAAATAGCCTCCTAGACCAATTTCAGAGAGCAAATCTAATGTTCGTATCATCACAATCCACGCGAATCATCTTCAATGAAGCCGAATTTGGTGGAATACATGAAACAGGCGTCTAGACACCCCCTCCCACAATTTAAATTGTGTCCAACCTTGATCACTCATTTCCTTTCCTTAAGAATAGGTAACGAAAGAGACAGAACCCAACAAATCGTTCAATGTGACTTCCAGAGCCAATGACATTAATGCGGTAAAAGGTGCTGAAAAAACAATCAAAATGGTCTTCAAATGTAAGGCTAAGGCCTGGAGGGGAAAGATGGCATGAATTTAATAGAACTTCAAACGTCAATTTGCCGCTTTCAATGTACCTAACTTGGCTTACTCCTTTCCTTTACCTCATCAAAAAACCGAATCCAAGATAATTATCCAGAGAAACTTCTGGGATTCTGAATCAAAGTCAGTATAGCAGGTTTGAGTTACAATGCCTAGAAAAACCTTCCAGACAAATAAAGGGGAATTCGGAATTCCCAAAGTCTTAATATGGTTGATGAGTTTTAAAAACCAAATCTAAAGGAATAGGAACTGAAGATTTGTTTCGTCCTCAGCGCCGACGGAAAGCACGAAATAAATATGTGGATAAAAATAAACCTAATAAAAGAAAAATAACCGTAGATTTTGGTCACAACGTTTTACGAAAATTTACCTGTGCTAATAGTCTATGTAACAACCTAAATGTATGATAAATTAGAAGCATTGGATTAGAGAATTATGAAAAAAGCTTTTTAGATGCTTGTATAAACTGCCTGATTATATTATCAAGTTTAACTTCGCCTATTTTCCGGTTGTTTTACATCCTTGTCAATTATATTACATGGCAAACTTCAAAAGAGTGGTTTAGTTTTCACATTATCAAGTTGCCTAATTATTCAACACAGGCTTCTGGGATCTTGATTAGGAATCCACTTATTCACACCTGCGTTCATGTTTCAGATAAGGCTCTAGACAATTCTCTGTAAGTCTCTACTACCTTCAGATTACATTGACTGCAAAATTTTTTGACAATTTCAAGATAAAGTAAAGGATACGCGTCATGCATTCTCTAGAACTAAAATCCCTGCCATTTTATGTTTGTTGGCAAATTGATCGACCGAAAAAAGAAAGGTGTCTGATATAGACAACTAAATTGGTAAACCTACAGCGAAGAAATTATCCAGGAAGCATTCTGTCTTGATAATCACTCCAATCACAATTTCTACATAATGGATAATAATAAAGCAGGACGGGTTTTGAGCCCATCGAAGACTTTCTTAAGGAATAATAACTCAAAATTACAGAGGATTAGATACATCCTCATGTCACAGGAAGCTGAGAATGGCTCCGAAAAACGGATGCACAGCACAGAAATGCCGATGCGGTAGAAAGGTTGGGAAAAAAGAGTGAAATCCAGAGATGCTACCTGAATTTGTGTGTTTGATTACACACTCTCACTCTTTGAGAAAGGTTCCAAAGAAGAGCGGGCAATGTTGTCAAACCCCAAGCGATAATTTGTAAAAGAAGTGAGAAAACAAATTCTTCAAAATCTAACCAATGATAGCTATTGTTCTCATTCCTCTATCCTATCTAGCAGTTTGCTTAAATTAAATGCTGTTGTGGTGGTCTAAGCAGAGGAACGAATATGTTGGATGTAGGAGAAGGCGTTCAAACAAGTACAAAGGCTGTGCTGTTACTACTCTGCCCACTTCAATCTCGCACAATTTGGCCTCTAATGTAACCAACGCCCGAGCCCTACGCTATGCTTATAATAGATTGGTCTTCTTTTAACCTAATCAGCGTTTATTCAGAATCTCCGGGGACTATGATTCCCCGTAAGAGATAATAAAAGCTTGCGATAACAAATTCCTGTTATGGGCGGCCAAACCTAAAGCCACTCATAACAGAGTGCCGATTCCAGCACTCTTCAAGCACCAACCTGAATGGTAGCCGCAACAAGGAAGTACTCTTGTTTTAGGCGAAGCTCCTTGCCCTGGAAGAAGTTGTCATTGGGGTATAGCACCCGTGAGATATTCTCCGCTGTGTTGCGACCACAAACAGCCTATAGAAAGAGGAAGCAGAAGGAGCATTAATTTCGAGCTTTCGCGTCTAGGGCAGCAAGCGAACGACCAAACAGGCAAGGTAAGCTAGCAAGCCTGACAACCAGCCCAATTTGCGGACGTGATATCAGCAGCCAATGGGGTGGGGATGGAGCCCCATCCAATCCGTTTGCCATATGTGCGATCAATCAGCTGACTTTGAGCCAATCAGCTGAAGGGTTTTAATTGGAAGGGACACGCGCATAACAGAATGCTCTACAAAAGGGCACTTATGTGCCCTTCCGCCCCAACCCCATTCTGTGTATTCGAAGATACTAGAAGGCCGAAATTATCGAATCCTACTTGTAAGCTCGTGGTTACACTAAGTCTGATTCCCCATATGTTTTGCAAAATCTAAAACTTAAGTGAATTTCGGGTGAAAACTCTGGAAAAGGCAGATCTACAATCATCGAAAAAATAATCCTGCCTACTTTATAGCACAATGTTTGAAATTTTGGACTAAAAATCCCAATGATGCCATAAAAGTAAACACTCGAATTCTTTTTGAACAAAAATGCAGGCTGTCGATTGCAAGTACCGGTTTATCAATTGCTAGTCAATCGCGCGTCAGTGTGAATCAAATTAAAAGTGATATCTCAGTAAATCAATTTTTAAAGTCACTTTAGAAGAGCATTTTAACAACACTCTCGGTTAGCAGAACGAGAAATTTTGGCCATTTTCTAGTTCCATTCGGCCAGAAATGTTTGGTTGTCAGAGGTTAGAAGTACCAGCTAAGGTCCGACGTGTAAAATGCGAATTCGAACAAATTTCAACGACACATTCACATCATTTGCATGCCTAATGAGAGAAGAATTAGAGAAACGCGCTCTAAAATCACTCTTCCAGTTCAGGATTCCGATAAAAGGGGTTAAAATAATTTATACCCCCATGCGTCTCTTAGTAAATGAATTAGGAAGTGTTGTCCAATTTATGCTTTCCTTATCAGTAAAACCAATTGCTAAAATTTAATCACCTCTTCTTGAAAAAGTAAAAAAGATAACAAAATATCCCAAAGTCCTTATCGATTGGGAAATCAAGAAATTTGGCCCAGTCCCACCGTATGAAGTGTTTTGTTTGTTATCGTAGTCACGTTAGTAACAATATAAACAGGTAGCCCATAGATTAAATAATTAAGCAAGTTTAACTAGATTACTACTATAAGTTGATTTCGGAATCTAGCATGCTTATTGATGCACGAAGGTACCGCAAATTCCACATAAGTGTATCGTTCATTCAGTAAAAATCACAGTGGTAGCTTCGGAGTTACTTAATACGCTAAAGAACCATCGACCGATGTTTAGAGACACCATTAACACTAAGGGAATAAGGACAGAGAATAATACCCTTAGAAGCCTTTACAACTTCATCAAAAAGAAAAAAAGCGTTTATTGAACTCAAAGGATGTGCCTTCCTCGGTCTCAATCATCATCAAAGTGGTAAGCGAAATTAACATAATTTAAGGCACCTTTGACCACACAGTCTTATTAGTTTGGTTTAAAATGTCTGTTTAAGGACAAAACTAAAAGTACAAACGCAACTCTCGCCTTGGGAGCAACATAAATCCAATACACAATCACAATCATTGTCATGTCGATGCACTTTCTAAACACCAATGAACTCACATCAATATAAGCACCAGTGTTGAAGATACGCAGATCG